CAGGAGAAAGAAGATGATAAAAGTGAAAAAGGAGGAGGAAAGAAGGGGAGGAGAAGAGGAGAGGAAGAGAAGGAATAGGAGGAAGAAGAGAATGCGAAAGAAGATGATGAAGGGGGAGAAGGGGGAAGAAGATGAAGGTGGAAATAGGAGGAGGAGGGTGGAGGAGGAGATTGTTTAATGTTCAGGCTAAAGCCCAGAACGGACACAAAAGACACCAGAGCCACCCTTCTGGTGGCATTCAATTTTGTATAATCCATGCACAGAAATCACATGCACAGAAAATGCTATAGATTTGATGAGGAAACAATGCTCATCTGCAAAGGTGTTTCACAGAATGAGGATCCAACTACAGCATTTTTTTGTTTCAGAACAGCATTTTTTCTGGGCAGAAATCTTCCCCAAAGTCATTCCTGGGACCCACGTGCAAATTTTGCACACAATTCATCCCAAGCTGTAAATAGGCTTTGAAAACATGATAGTTTTTGAAGACTTTTCTCACAGTGGGAAGAAGATTGCTAAAAATTTCTCCTTGCTTCCTTCTGGAATGAAATTAGCAAAGGATTAGGCTATGCAGATGACAAGTTTGCTGGGCAAAGTCTTTTTAATCCCCTTCCTATTTCTTTCTTTCTTTCTTTCTTAAGGAATAGGAAATTCCAATTTAGCTGCCAATTAGCTAGTGATGATCTGTTTCTAGCAATGATATATTTGTCAGGAAAGAAGAAAGAAATGTATGTGTGTGTGTGTGTGTGTGTGTGTTTTCCACTAACTTCTTCCCCAAATGGCTGACTTTTCTGATGCAGGAAAAAGCAGATGCATCTATATATCCCCTTAATACAATTTCTAGAAAGAAATGCATTAATGCTTGGATATACAGGTGCATCTCTTTCTTCCTGGATCATAAAAGTCAGCCATTTGAGGAGAAGATTCATAGAGAAAACACACACACAAATCCCATTGCAATGCTTTGCAGAAGTAATTTTTGAGAAGTAACTAGAAATTGTTACTTGCTACTCTGATGACTTGACTTCCCTCTTTACTCATTTAGTTGCTCCCAAAATGTTCAGTTTAAAATATCCAAAAGCCCCCACACTTGTTAAGTATTCAGTCCATAATTCAGGGGTGGGAACTGTGTTACGCCATTGGATTGCAACTCCCAGCATCCCCTAGACCGGTTTGCTGGGCCCCAGATCTTCCGGGGGGCGGAGGCGCACGCGCATGTGCATGACTCCGGATGCCATTTTGGAAGACAAAATGGTGTCCAGCGGTGGGCGCAAGCGGCGGTGGCGGCAGGACCGGCCATGGGCCGGTAGGAAGGCCTCGGCGGGCCGGGGCCGGCCCGTGGGCCATAATTTGGGGACCTCTGCCCTAGACAGCACAGACATTGGTGGGGAATGATGGGAACTGGAGTCCAACATGCTGTAAAGGGCAGCCCCATTCGCAGGAGGCAAGCCTTAACAAAATCCATGGGATTTGCTCCTAAGGCACAGGGGAGCCCAGGATAGGTCTACTCAAAAGCAAGGCTCCTTGACTCCAATGGGAATTATTTCCTGGGAAGCGTGTACCCAGGATCGCAACGGGGCTCCGAACCTGAGTATCAACACACTTCAGAGCACTCAGCTGTACATTTCAATTTTCCAGTTAAGCATCGTTTTGTGCAAAGTGACATTTTCCGTAAGCTTGCAATGTTAAGCCTGGGATGAATTGCAAATGAGCAACAGAGAGCAGGCTTGCATCTCTTGGAGCATTTAGAGGCTTTGTGTTTTGCAGGGAAGGCGGAGGAGGGAAAATATTAAATGAACTTTCTTCTAAGGGAAAAACTTTACAAAATAATAATCAGGGCTTCAGGAGTGTGTATTCCTAAGGTTTGTGGGGGAGGCAGACCACACTGACACCTTGGTGCACTTGTGGTTTTAAATCAATGGTTCCCAAACTTTGGTCCAGCTGATGTTTTGGACTTTGACTACCAGAAGTCTCAACCATCTTGGCCAGTGGCCTGGGATTCTGGGAGCTGAAGTCCAAAATACCCGGAGAGCCAGAGTTTGGGAATCACTGTTATAAATGATCAATGCCTGTGATTCCTTTGCACTCCAGATGTTTTGGACTTGAGCTCCCAGAATTCCTGACAGTTGGCCAACCTGGCTGGGGATTCTGGGAGTTGAAGTCCAAAGCACCCGGAAGATCAAAGTTTGGGAACCACTGGTTAAACTGTGGACTAAAAGTTTTAACCTAAACTTTACAGGGAGCTGTCCAAGGTACTAAAGCCTATCCTTCCAAATCAGGTTCAAAGCCGTCTTCTGCTCTTTTAGAGTTCGGACTAAATTCTAGAGCGAGTTTACTACCATCCCAGGGATGTGACAGGTGCCATGGCTGTATCTTTTGTTTCTATTCATTGCAGGGCTCTTTTTCCTTCACTGTTTTAGACAACTTCTAGCTTGCCTATGACATACAGGTCAGTGGTTCCCAAACATTGGTCCTCCAGATGTTTTGGACCTCAGCTCCCAGAATCCCTGGCTGCTGGCCAACCTGGCTGGGGTTTCTGGGAGTTAAAGTCCAAAACACATGGAGGCCCAGAGTTTGGGAATCCCTTTCCTTGGACAATGAACTTGATGGTTCAGGCCAGAATTAACGCACTGTTACATGCCTTCAAGTTGACTCTGACTTATGGCAACCTTCTCCTAGGGGTTTCTTGGCCAGATTTATTCAAAGAAGGTTGCCATTGCCTTCCTTTGAGGCTGAGAGAGTGTGTGCTTCCCCCCCTAAGGTCATCCAGCGGCTTAGTGAGATTCGAATCCTGGTCTTCCAGAGTCCCAACCCAATATTCAGATTATTATACCATGCTGGCTTTTGCTTTTGTTGTTGCTGTTGTGTGCCTTCAGGTTTGGGGCTTCTGGGAGCTGAAGTCCAAAACACCTGGAAGATCAAGGTCTGGGAACCACTGGAGTCTATTGCCATCTGCATTACGAACCTTGACGCACATAGCAAAGGCTGCTAAGAAAGCTTGTGAGTGAATTGTGAGGATGCATCATGGGACATCCCTCGGTCTCACATTTGGGCTTGGAAATCTCCAAGACGGGACGATCGATCCTCAGCCCAAACCTCCGAGCCTGGGATGATCCTCCTGCCCAAATGCAATGGGCATGAATTTTGCAAGTCCAAAGGGATGCATTCTTTCCCCTGCCCAGCCCTGAAAGGAGGCCAGGTCTGGCATATTTCTGGGGGTCCCTTGCAGGGTTTGCAAGCAGCAGCAGGTGGGTGCTTTGGTTTCCTTATCGGTCCCCGAAGCAGATGCCTCTAAGAGACCCTCGGCCGGGCTTCTGGGGGTCGAGAAAGGAGAAGTTGGTTGGGACTCGCAA